TCTTCCTCTGTGAGTTTATTGGCTGGTTGTAAAGCAGAAATCTGATTACTGTCTGACTCATGTAGACCTGGAGTTTCCCCATTATCTGATTACTCAAGTGCATGTAAACATGTTGATCTGATTACTGACAAAATCTGATTTTCTGCAGTTATCAGACTATTGAGTGCATGTAAACACTCAAAGATGTGGAATTTACACAATTTTATTACACATAATTGTAGAAAATTAGAAACAGTCACTAAAACCATGCTGTCAGCACAGACATCTTCAAACAGTTCGAACTACAGCGGCTCAACAGTGAAAACATCAGCCGTAATACCGTCGTATGTAAATACCGTCACTACTTCACAGAACACTGGACAGATTTAAAATCTCTGCAGCGCCGACATCGTCTCAGATTATCACCTCAGTTTATCTCAACAAAAACAGAAATCATTATCGTGGATTGTTCTGTGTTGTTGAAGATTTATTTGTTGTCTGCTCAGTTCTGTCCTATTGAAAGCAGATTTGATCAAAAATAAAAGTGTATTGTCTTTATTACCTTATAGTTTTTATGTTTAGTATGTTTGCAGGATCCTCAGCTTGTTCAGTATTGGGTCTGTTTGGATGCTCTGGTGAACTGTCCCCTTTAAAAGCACGGCTGTTTTCACAGGGAAGGGAAGGAAACGGCTCTCATTACCAAACCGCTGGCTGGCTAATCAACATCTGTGTCGTGGAACACTCAATCAGTGGCTCTAATACAGCAGCTATATTTTATTAAACATCACGCGCCAAAACAGATGATGAGTTGACAGAGGCGGCTTTTTAATGAATGTGCTGCGAGATGCCAGTCTGAGCCGAGAGAACGGAGTGAGCTGTCAGCAGTTCTGCCGGTTCCTCCCGCCGTGACGTTAAACATATTGAGCTGTGCGCGTGTGTGATGATGCCATGGTCACGGCAGATTATTCAGCTGTGTGTGTGTGTGTGTGTGTGTGTGTGTGTGAGTGTGTGTGTGTGTGAGTGTGTGTGAGGACGAGACAGGAAACATCAAACAAGATTTTCCAAAAATAAAACAAAAACACAGCACACACATTACTGTCAGTACAGACTGAGCATGATGTTCCCTACAGCTCTCTCTCCCTCTCTCTTCTCTCTTCCTCTCTCTCTCTCTCTCTCTCTCTCTCTCCCTCTCTCCCTCTCTCTCTCTCTCTGCAGGCCTACATTATCAATAATGCTGTATTAGCAAGTTTACAGAGGGGAAACTTCAGCAATTTTTCAAAATATCTACATAATTAACTGGTTAACACATAATCAGAGTGGTTCAGAGTGGTTCAGAGTGGTTTGGTGTGAAACGCTCTGTTCTAGATAAACTTAGCGAGTCAGAACTGTTCACAATGGTGGTGATAGGAACCAGACGTCCACCTCTAAAAGCTCCCTCACAGAAAGTTACTACATGAAATGGTTATGAATTCACTGCCTGATGACTGAGACACTGTTTTATGGTCGTTTTGAGAGGATAAAATAATGAAATTTATTTTGTTGGAGGGGTATGTACCGGTCGATATGAGCTCCCATATTTTATCTGATGTATCACTTTACTATCATCAACATTACATATAAAAACCCAGAAGACGCGTAGAGGTTCACTGGTCGTTTTGGTTAGTAAATAAAATAGCTTGCCCCTGGTTACTGTCGCCACAAGTTTCGGTAAGTAAGTCAGTAAATTTCTCTACAGTGAACTATTTCACCCCAAACGACTCTGAATGACTTTGCCTACATATCAGTTATAGAACTGTGCTGAAATTTGGAAAAATGGTGAAATTCTCCTTTAACCTACAAACACAGAGCTTGTGAACCACCTGTAGACCAATCAGAAGCAACCAAAGCAACCATGTGCCGTGTATGTGACCACACAACCACAGATAACTGGCAGCCTGGCACACATTTGGCTTTCAAGCCTCAAGTCAGAAGGAGTGGATGTTCTGCTCTTCCTGGCCAAAAACAGAATCGGGCGATTTTCACTCCCAAAACACGATCGGCTGGTTTATTTAGATAATTTCAGCTGATCTATGTTACAGTTTTTCACATACATAACAGAGAGGGGGACTCGAGTCAGTGACTACATGTAAACTGACTTGCAACTTGGGTTCACTTTTACTTGGCTTGCAACACAACTTGGACTCGCCCTTAAATGACTCAGAACTCAAGCTCACCCTTAAATCAATCACAGCTTGACTCTGACATGCCCCTAAGTGACTTACAACTCGACTTGGACTCAAAACTTGACTCTGACTTGCAACTTGACTCAGACTCAGCCCTTAAACAACTCGCAACTCGACTTGGATTTGCCTTTAAATGACTCGCAACTCTAGCTCACCTTTAAATGACTCACAACTGGACTCAGACTCGCCCTAACTCGAGCTCAATCTTAAATGACTCGACTTTGACTCACCCCTAAGTGACTTGCAGCACAACTCAGACTCATGCTTTATTGACTCACAACTTTACTCTGACTCTCAACTTGACTCCGACTTAACCCTTAAGTAACTCACAGCTCGACTCAGACTCACCCTTTAATGACTTCAGCCTTGATTTGGACTCGTTCTTAAATGACTCCCAACTCAATTTAGAGTTGCCCTTAAATGACTCGCGACTCAACTCGAACTTACCCTTAAATGACTCCCAACTCGACTCAAACTTACCCTTAAATGACTCCCAACTTGACTAAAATTAACATCAGCCCTTTTCATTGGCCGACACACTGATCAAGCCCTGCTTCTTTGCCCTGATCTAGTCTTTAAAATCTGTCTCAAAGGGAGCCTGTGAAGCTCGAGTGGCTCTGACGACACCTGAGGAAACGTTCAGGAAATACAGACGACCTGAGTGTCCTCGTCCACCGCGACTCGCTCTGGTGTGATTATTATTAGACAATGACCACGTTAACCTCAGAGCAGCGGAAATCCGGCAGATCTCAGAGCGAAAGAATTAGACAAAAGGAACCGTTCAGCACAGAATCACTTTCCATTTTCGTCCCGTGGCATTTGATTAAGAACGCCATTAGCTTTGGTTCAATCTGTCCGTCTGTGACATTAAGTCTATTCTGAGAGATTCACAACATTTGAATGATCATTCAGCATAATTGCCTTTGTATCTGCGGGTGTTTTGTTCTCGCTGACACCCCAGAGATAAGATTGTCCATCTTTAGGATGCTTCATCTGTCATGTTAGGCTGGCTTTACATGGCGAAGCAGCTCCAGGCCTGGAGGGCTGGTGTCCAGTACACAACACACCCACTACACCTGGCAACTAACAGATGAGCTGAGTCAGGTGTGTTTGAGCAGGTAAATCAACAAATTGTGCTGGATGCCGGCCCTCCAGGACCAGAGTTAATGGCAAGGTAACAGCTAGAAAATACAGTTCAAAATAATAAAGTTGTATGCAATGCATTGGTTATTCCACTCGTTATCAACATAATTAGCTGATTCATTTTCATATATAGGATCATTCTGACTATATAAAATAATCCCCAATGTGTTATTTAGCTTACATTTGCATCTTTTTATCATTTTTACACTGTAAATAATTGAAGCAAATTTACAGTGGAAACTCTCCAGTAATCTATTTCAACAGAGCCCCCTAGTGGTCATTCTGCTGGCAGTGTGGAAATCGACTCGGATGCTTTTAATTAGAATAATCAAAATAATTTCCCCCTGTAACTCAGATGAACTAGGACTCTGTTGTCTCTGTGTGTGTGAAATGTTGAGCTGCTGGTGAGCAACGAGGTGAGACCCCCTGCTGTGAAAAACTATTCACACCTCTCCGCAAAGATGGCAAACAGACAACTGCAGCTTTCTTCATATCAGTCCTGCACAACTGACACAATAAACGCACAGCATTTATACACAATAAACACACTTTTATAAATGTTAAAATGTTGCTAACGTATGAAGAAGAAAGTTCGCTTCTGGTTTTGCATTTCCAAAGAAATCTGTTCCATCAGAACAAGAGTTCGAGTTAGAAGCTCTAAAACAGGTGGGAATTGCATTTTACAGCAGACTGCTGGTTCACTCTCTGAGATTCAGGCCAAGTTCATGTCAGAACTTGCCAGATTTAAATGCTGGATTTTTTTTTTGTAAAAGCATTTGGGCAAAGTGACCAGTAGTGTGCTGCTACCGGTCCTAGTTCATCTGAATATTGCAGCACTGGGGCTGGACTTTTCCAGCATCTCTTGCGGTTTTGTGTTTCTATTAATAATTTTTTATTTCTTTGTCTACAGTTTCTTTTCCTATGTCATTATACCAAAAATATATTTAAATCCATTTGACATGTGTTGGTAATCCAACCATGGTGGTGTTTTTCCTTCTAATGTTCTGCAAAAAAATATTGGTACTACATTGGCTGGTGGAAGAGCATATAACTGCTGTAATATGATGTTTAGTCTGATAAACTGAGCTACGCTGTTGTGAAAAACAGCGCGGCATCATGCTGCGGGCCGGCGCTGGCACCGGGAGACTCTGGAAGTGTGGCTGGGCAGATGGCCACAGGCAAAGGTTCATGCTAGCACATGCCCTCCAATAAAGGGACTTGTTGTGTTGTTAATGTTATTGTCTGTTGAAGTCATGTGAATTAGTTTAAGTCATACAACACTAAATACTTGTGTTGTAGCGTGAGCGGCTGTGGGTTTTGTGTTTTGGGGGTCACTGTCAGGGTCAGGTGTGTGGCTAGTGATGACCTCCCGTGCGAGTTCAGTTTTCCGTATGTGCTTTTCTCGCTGCGGGTTCAGTAAAGAGCACGTCTCGCTGCAGAATAGTAGCTACTGCTGACGCCACGATAGCATGATCGTTCTCTTAACTGTGTGACATCTAGCTAGTTAAGCTAAGTGGTAATCAGCAAGTACGCAACATTATTCCAAGAGGCCGTTTCGTTTTGTGGATTGAAGTCATATGTTGTGTTTCGATTGGCTTGTTAGCCTGTAGCGTTAGCCTTAGCGTGCTAATTCTCTCCTCTTTATCTTCTGAACAGGACGTGAAATCGACGTTCTTCCAGTTCGGTGCTTCCATCCAGCAGGAGGCGCTGCTGATGCTGAACATCATGGAGGAGTACGACTGGCACGTCTTCTCCATTGTGACGAGCAAGTTCCCGGGCTACCAGGACTTCATCGCCATCCTGAAGACCACGGTGGACAACAGCTTCGTGGGCTGGGACCTGCAGAACACCATCACTTTGGACGCGGTGGACGGCGACTCGCGCACCCAGATCCAGCTGAAGAAGGTGCAGTCGCCCGTCATCCTGCTCTACTGCTCCAAGGACGAGGCGGCCTACATCCTGGACGAGGCGCGCTCCCTCGGGCTCACGGGCTTCGGATACATCTGGATCGTACCCAGCCTGACCACGGGCAACCCGGACGTCACACCCGAGGAGTTTCCTTCTGGAATGATCTCCGTCTCCTACGACGACTGGGACTACCCTCTGGAGGCGCGGGTGCGGGACGGGCTGGGGATTATAACCACGGCTGCGTCGGCCATGCTGGAGGAGTTCGGAGACATTCCCGAAGCAAAGACCAGCTGCTACGGGCAAATGGAGAAGACCAAACTACCGCCCAGCGCTCTGCACAAGTGAGTGGACCTGAGGGTGCTGGGGTCAGGCTGTGAAGGCCTGGCGCTTTATTATCCTCTGTGCATTAGGACATCTCAGATTTGGTAGGATTTAGTTTAAAAACACACTGAGTACTCAAATGTGGCTGGAGGAGCTGTTTGCACTGTAGAGGAGTACAGAGAATAATAATTAGACATAACAATAACAATAAGAGTTTTATTTTGGCCAAAAAAGAGCTGCACGCTATAGGACACTTGGTAACACTTCATTTGAAGGCTACTTACATACTGACCTCATAACACACAGCATAACATATCATGAATGCAGTCACTGTCTCTATTTTTGTCGTTTTTCATTTTTTGGCGTAATTTAAAAATACCAGCTATTTTTATTTATGTCAAAATTTCATGGTAGTCGATATAAATGGCTCAGAATTGCCTACAATAAAATCTCTTCACATTAACTTGCATTGAAAGTTAAAAATGTTTTTTTTAATTTCCTGCAAAGTTACCATCTTGGAGAGGTATTTGTCTGTTAGGGGTGACAAGTATTGAATAATGTATTTAAAAAATATATTTTTAAGTGATGCTTGAGTATTTATGAACAGTTGCAGAGAACTATTGCCTTTACTAAAGAACCCTTGAAGAACCGTCTTTTTTAGAAGTGTAGTTACAGAGTATGGCAGTATTCACAAAACTGTAACAAAAAAAAACAAACTTAAAGTTAGTAATCACGTTTTTTGATATAGACAGTTATGTCAATTACGTCACTTTAAAACATCGTCATCTTGTGATTACTGACACAAGCTGTTCGTAAATACTCGATTACTTTTTTATAAATATGTTATTCAGTGTTTATCATTTTTCATTTTTTAGTTTGAAAAAAACAGCTGCCTTTTATATTATGTGAAAGTTTCATAATGACCGATATAAATGGCTCAGAATTGCCTACAACAAAATCTCTTCACAATAACTTGCATTGAAAGTTAAAAATGTTTTTTTAATTTCCAGTAAAGTTTACAATTTGCAGAGGTTTTTGTCTGTTAGTGACGGTAAGCACTGAATAAAGTATCTAAAAAATATAAAGCGATATTTAGTATTTATGAGCAGAGTATGTCAGTATTCACAAAACTGTGGGAAAATCATTTTATAATGTAAAAAGCAACCAGGCTGCGTTTTTTGAGTTTCTTGAATTGTCAGTTATGTCAGTTACAGTGTCGCTTACTTCAAAAACATCTTACATCATCTTGCGATTTCTGACATAAGCTGCTTGTAAAAACTCAAGTGCTGCTTTATAAATATATTACTTAATGCTTATGCGTGTGTTATGAAGTCCCTATGAAAGTAGCCTTTAAATAAAGTTGCTGAATGTTATTGTAGTTGATTATAATAAATTTGATAACTCTTTGCTGTAGGGTGCTCTTCATAAGGCTACATGACACCTGGATAAGCTTTTCATGATAACTCACATAACCCTACATAAATGTTTATACATGCTTATTTTAATAAGCTTTAAGTCACTAAAAAGGTTGCATTTGCCAATTTTGATCAAATTTTGCTAAAGTAGTCTTTATGGCAGATGATGCCTATTAAAACAAGCATTTATAAACATTTATGTAGGGTTATGTCAGCTGTCATGACAAGCTTATGCAGGCATCATGTAGCCGTATGAACAGCGTACAGCGTAAAGCATAGATCTGTGTCACAATGCATCAGTGTGGTTTTACATCCCTCAAGTATGTGTCACAGACAAAATACCATATTATGCTTATATTGCTACTCATTGCGAAGTCTTTAGGCCATATTAATGCTTTTCCCTATTTGCATATGCATTTGCATATCTGTGATATCAGTATTGCTAAGGCTAATTTTGCAATTATCAAACGATACATTGTGCACTCGCTGTGCGTTTTCTCGCCGTCTGGCTCGCGTCTGGTCTGCTCCTGCACCCGGACAAGATGAGTAAGTGGCTGCAGAGGCGAGAGAGGCATTTATGTGGAAAACAGAATATTGAGGCAGTGAGGTGGAAAAAAAAGATAAAAACGCCACCCAAGAGGTCTGAGAGAGAGAGAGAGAGAGAGAGACAGAGAGAGAGACAGAGAGAGAGAGAGAGAGAGAGACAGACAGACAGAGAGAGAGAGAGAGAGAGAGAGAGAGAGAGACAGAGAGAGAGAGAGAGAGAGAGAGAGAGACAGAGAGAGAGACAGAGAGAGAGAGAGAGAGAGAGAGAGAGAGGTGCAGACTCAGTTTATGCAGAATTCATAGTTACATGCTGTTAATGCTGCGGAGCGTCTGGGAGTCGAGGCCAGTGTAACGAGAGTGCGTTATTAGGAGGGCTGGACATGGTTTTTCCAAACATATGGACATTTGAACATCCCTTATTTGTTTACCAGAGGTCACACCTCGGGCTGAACGACATGGGGAAAATGTCTAATTCCAATTTTTCTGCCCAATATCGTGACTGTGATTTAACCCTTGTGTGGTGTTGATGTGTGTGTTACTCAGTGGTCTGCTGGACCCACCATATTATTGTTTATTTAAATCAACACAGCCATAACAGTTTATGTAAAAAATACCAGATGTTTAAAATATCACAAGTGTCCAGCGTAGGGTTCTCATTTAGCAGCTGTAGCCAGTCAGCAGCCTGTCCATGTAGTCCACCCTCACACACACACACACACACACACACACACACACTAACAGCAGGCCATGTAGGAGGAGAACAGAGTGAAGGACACAGCACCTCCACACTTTTACTCCCCGCGGGTTCACCAAACACCACATGTGTAATATAAATGTGTGGGGGGTGAACAGAGTGAAGACACTGAAAATGGGTTATTTTATATGTTCTTCACAGAAAATGATCAAAGGCCAAGAATCTGAGGTTGGAATAATAATAAAGCATCATTTTTTCTTTTGGTAAACATTGAAAATGAGGCCCACAGACCTGAACACCACACAGGGGTTAAAATGTGGTTCTGTAAATGAAGGTCCAAGCCTGGTGTTTTGGCCAACGACACCACCGTATCCTTTTCTAGCTTGAGGCTTTAACTCTGCTATTTATGCCAGTTAGTCGTGGTTGTGATGTCACAGCACACACGTGTATTTGTTTGCTTTTGATTGGTCTAATTCATCTACAGGTGGTTTACAAGCTCCATGATTTTAGGCTAAATTTCCCCACATAAAATAGACAACAGTGTCAATTATGTAATCATTAAAACTGTAACTATTGCAATTTGAAACTTGTACTCTTTTTTGTGATTTTAACTCCTATGCTCTAAAAAATATGGTTCTTCTAGGGTTCTTTAGTAAAAACAATGGTTCTCTATATAGGACCATGAACACTCATTTGTATTATTAAATGGTTCTTTGCATGGTGAAATGGTTCTTCAGATTGATAGAGAATATGCTGTATATGGTTCTGTATAGAACCTTTTTCAAAAGGGTTCTTGTGGCATGTGCCCGCCCCCCGGGCCCCGACGATGTCATCGTCATGGCCCGGGGGGCGGGCACATGCCACAGTTCTATATATCACCAAAAAGGGTTCTGCTATTGTCATGACGTCAAGCTTGTAACAGTAGAAGAATGCTTTTTGGTGCTATATAGAACCACAACACATTCTCAATTAATCTGAAGAACATTTCACCATGCAAAGAACCTTTAAGTATGCAAATGGTTATTTGATTGTTTGTGGTTCTATATAGAACTATTGTCTTTACTAAAGAACCCTTGAGGAACCGTCTTTTTTAAGAGCGCCCTGCATTTTATGTATCCCTCCACCATGAATGGATTTTAAGGCTAAAATGTTCTCATAACTATCATAAACAGTGTCTCAGTCATCAGGCAGTGAATTCATAACCATTTCATGTAGGAACTTTCTGTGAGGGAGCTTTTAGAGGTGGATGTCTGGTTCCTATCACCACCACTGTGAACAGCTCTGACTCTAAGTTTCTCTAGAACAGAGCGTTTCACACCAAACCACTCTGAACGACTCTGTTTACATCTCAACCATTTAATTATGCAGAAATTCCTCTTTAAACCTTCCATGTTAAACCTTCCACAATTTACATTCACAAGTATATATCTGAGTCGCAGAAATGGGTGTGAGTGCGTCTGCAGGGCTTTAGGAGCTGTGAAAGAGAGCAGTGTGAGGAGTGAGTGGAGACGGTTGTGCAGCAGCTGTGTTTCTGCACTATAGGAGACGGTGGCAGCGTCCATACCCCCCCGACTGACGAGGGACGACAGAGCAGCGGCGCATTTAATGAGCATCCTGGGAACGACAGAGAGGCAGAGTGAGAGATAAGAGAAAAGACGAGAGTGGGAGAGAGCAGCGGATAGGGAGGGAGAAAGAGTGAGAGAGGGTGGTCTGTAGTGTTCTATATCGCACACAGGCAGCTACAGCAGTGGTTCCCAGTGGTTCATCTCCTCTGCAGACCAGTTTCTGCTCCACCATGTTGAAGGTTATGAACTTTCACTTTGACGTGAACGGACTTAAACTTTCCGATAGGGAATGTAATCAGATACAGGCGTTTACACGGATATTATTCTCCTATTTAACGGATTATTTACAGGATTACCCACCTCGATCGTCAGATAGAAACTGTATTCTGAATGGCCTCAATCAGACTAGACTGTTCTGACTGAGGTGTTTACATGGATGCATTCTATTCTGATTGAGCTGATAGTCGGATTATTAACAGATTATCACGCTGCAGGTGAACATGGCTAAATATAATCATCTCCCCGATGCTGATCATATGTTTAAGTAAATATATGCCAGTACAGATATGATGTGATAGGTGTTATCATGCATCCCTACTGGGCTGACATGGCCATGCGTGTCATTTTTGAGATTTTCAAAAACAAATTTTTTTTGTAAACAGAACAAAAAGCAACATTTTCAAAAATATCTGTAAAAAAAATATAAACAAAGTTTTGCAGAGGAAGCTAGACGTTAAAGAAGCTAAAGACTAAGACTGAGCTGTTTCATACTGCAGTGAGAGAGAGAGACAGCGAGAGAG